AGCCTAGACCCCACCCCTACACTCTTAATCCTTAAATTGACACCAGATTAGGTGACTATCACAGCAGCTCAACTCGTAACCACTGTCACCAGGGCTGCTCTCCCATCCTAGTAACCATTTTTATAATGTTACCATTAGTAATATTTTTTTGTTTGCTGGAGTGTTAGTTTTGCTTATGTTCTGTAAGTGAGGGCCCTTTTGCGCTGGTTTTGCGCAGCATAATGCTTTCTAGGTTCATGTATGTTGTGGCACGCACCAGGAATTTATTCTAATTTGGCTGAATAATAATCCCATTGTATGTATACACCACATTTTTTACTCATTTGTCTATTAATGGACATTTCCATTGTTTCTCTATCTTTTGGCAATTGTGGATAGTGCTGCAATGAATTTTTGAGAGACAACTTATTGGAGTGCTTAAGAATAAGGGAAAAAAAAAAGAATAAGGATTAAGTGCCTAATTTTGAGTCTTGTGACTTTTCGTAAGTTACTTATCCTTTGTGCGATTCAGTTTTCATATCTCTAATATAATCTCTCTTATAGAACGAGGAGGCCTGGTAGGTTGCTAGGTGCTTGCTGGGCTGTGCACCCAAGGGAGAAAGCAGAGGCTGTCTGATTCTGTAAAGATGTCCAGGCTCAGAAACCTGGTGCAGCAGTTCTCTTCTGTCCGGAGGGTCACTGTGAGCTGGAATCAACTGCACAGCAGTGGATGTGGTTTGTGGTTGATAGACTAGAATTGTTTTCAAGCTAAAATGAGTTGTTAAGTGGAAAGCAGTAAAAATAAAATGTCTGGAACATTTGTAAAGGTAGAATATTAGTTGAATAATAATAACTAATATTATTGTAAATGTTAGTTGGTTTTAGGTTTCTTTTTCTTTCTTCCCCCGTTGAAATAAAAGATCAAGCTGAATTAAAAAAAAAAAAAGATTTTAAAGAGTTAACAAGTGTCACTTCTTTCAGTAAACTTTCCTGACAAATTGTATTTAATTTCATAGCATCTAATACATCTAGCTTATCTTTTGTATTATCACTGTCTGCTTAACTTGTGTCGTCCCCATAAGATTCTAAGCTTCTCAAGAGAAGATACTATGTGCAGTTGATTGATTGATTCCATAGTCATTTAACAAATACTTCATTGTCTCTTTATCAGGCACTGTTAACCTTGCTGGCCTAGTGGGTTAAAGCACTAGTCTGCTGACTGTAGGACTGGTGGTTCAGGCCCCTGGGAGAAAGATGAGGCTGTCTCAGAAACCCTAAGGAGCTGTTCTGCTTTGCCCTATTAAGGTTGCTCTGAGTCCGAATTTATTCAGTGGCAGTAAGTTATTATTATTTAGTAAAACTTTAAAAAGTGGAACCCATGTAAGGCAGAAACCTATCAAGAGAAGGAAAACTTCAGTACTCATCCTTTCCACTAAACAGAGAGCAATAGAAAAGTGGTGACTGCACCTTGTCAAAGGCGGAAAACTTGTGCGATCCAGAAAAACAAGGCATTCCCATCCCTCACAGGTTCCACTGTGCGGTGATAAAACCTGAACTGAATTCAAGAAGAGTAAGTTGACCCTAAAACAAAGTAAACTAGAGAATTACTGTATGCTGTATGGAGTTGCCAGTGGTGGAAGTTGGGTTGATGCAATGGTCAAGCAGAAAGCAGATTCTGAGTAACGTTTCTTGGTAGCAACGGGGGCCTTAACATAGCTCATAAGCAACCATCTAAGGTTCAACTATTGGTTTCTTCTGCTGCAGAGTAAGGAAGAGTGATGAAAACGAAGCGAACCTTGCAAACATAAATCTCCACAACCCTGAGACCAAAAGAACTAGATCTTGCTGGCCACTGCTACCAACTGCTCTATAAAGGACCATATTATAAGGTCCTGGGGTAGAGTGGAAGAAAAATGTGAAACGGAACTCAAAATCATAAAAGAGACCAAGTTTAATGGTCGCATGGAGACTGATGGGACCCCCAAGACTATGGCCCTTACCCTTCAGGTCTGGACTGAACTCACTTCCATGATAGAGTGATTAACCATTTAAGATCAAAGGGGGCAGCATTCACCCAAGGCCAAAGGGTTAGGCAAGGAGGAGGAATGGAAACAGAATACACAGGGAGAAAGTGGAATCGATGATGGGTCCATTGAGGGGAGTGCAGCGGATGATTTGAATAAAATGGATATGAATTGTTGAATGTTAAACTCTCATCTATTCTGTAAACCTCCACTATAAGAAGTTTTTTAAGAAAGAAGAGGAGAGTCGATCAAAGCCACAAGATGCTACTTCACAACTACTGTTGTTGTCCAATGCTGTAAAATAAATACTTGAACAAATAAAGCGAAGTTGCATATGAAAACCCAAACCCAAACCTACTGCCACTGAGTAAATTTTGACCCACTGCAACCCTAGGTAGGGTTTGTGAAGATGTAAATCTTTACAGGAGTGGATAGTCTCAACATTTTCCCTCAAAGTGCTGTCCGTCCTTGAGGTCAGCAGACTAATAGCTACCCAGCACTGCCAAAACATGTTAATAATAGTTGATTAAGAGTAAAATTCCACACAGATACCACCCCAGGAACCCTCCAAATGAAAGAATGTTTTAATTATTTACTAAGTAGTAATCTATTGCTTATTAAATAGTTATGAGTTCAGACTGTTGTTAGCTGCTATTAAATCCATAACGGCTCCTGATGGCTTTGTGTACAGCCAGTCCCCAAATTGTAAACATCTGACTTACATATACAGTGAACCCTCGTTTAGCACGGTTAATCGGTTCTAGACCCTACCATGATAAATGAAATTCCGCGAAGTAGGATTCCTTATTTGTAAATCAAATATTTTCGTAGTTAGAGCATAGAGGACATGAAAAAACACCCTTTAGTCACCATTACACTCGTATTACCCAATTTATTAAACGAAAAAGGGAAAATACAGTAAAACATTTTGGACGTTACAATTATCATTTATTATTTATTATATTATTTATGGCATCAAGCGTGTACAGTATGAGCCAATCAGTGACAGTAATGACAGAGCATGCGCTGTTATGCAAAAACCGCGATAGAGTGAAGCCGCGGAAGTCGAAGCGTGAAGTGGCGAGGGTTCACTGTAACCCGTAATTATGAACCAGACCCCTTAAAGCCTATTATATTAAAATTTTGAGGTACATACAATATTTCATAATAACAGATGAGTGCTACTTTGTGATGGGCATCAAAACATCATTATTATTGCTATCACTATATTATGTTGAAGATATTTTAGTGTATCTGGACACTTTTTTTAGCACCTGTGAAATGTATTCAGCCTAACCAGAGACCGTGTCTTCATGTCATACAGAGAGCAAACACAGAAGAACAGAACAATATTCATGTTTCGCGCAAGTGCATTCCTTCTGAAGACCATCGGCCACAGCCCATCCTTTAAATAGTGGATATTTTCTATGCCAATTCCTTTGTTGGCTTTCGCAGTGTCCTCTGCAAACATCTTCATGCGAGCAACACTCAGAGCGTGCTGCTTTCCTTCCGCCATTGCTGCAACAACCGTGTCGACTGCAGCAGGGTACAGCTTGGCCCCAGGACACGTTAAGGCTGGACACGTGATACTTGCTCTGCTGAGTCCAGATTTGATGGCTCCTTTACCAACTTGCTGATGTGATAATATAAAGGAATATTTGTGAAGTAACCTTAAGGTTGGATCAAAAGGTCCTTCTCCTTGCCTAAAAATTAACAGCTCTCCATTGACTGTCAGGATTTCCATATGTCCGTGGCATCTTACTGTTTTCACTCGGCCTTTCTTAGGCATGATTTGGTTAAGCCATGGTTCATTACCTGGGAATTGCTCTATCAATTGGTTCTTAATACCCTTAACAACTGAGGCTTTCAACTGGATACAGTTGGACACATCCTCTTTTTCATCAAAGTTCTCGAACATGGTCCAAGGTGAGGGGTGACGGTGGAGAGAAATTGATTTAAGAAGGCCCGACAGGTGCCCTCACAGGAGGAAGGCCGCACGGTGGTCCAGTTATCCCGGCCGGAAAGAGAGCCGGTCCGTGGTGCTGAGACTGACCAATTCCGCCCTGGGACACCGCCTTGGCGCTTTCGCCTTGACCTTTGGGCTAACATTTGCTGTCCGGAGGGGAGTACCTGAAGGGCGGGACTTAAGAATGGTGACAGGCTGACCCCACACCCGTCTCGGTGTCTGCAGCCTCCTCCACTTCCTTCCTGGGCGACGAGAACCAGCGGCCAGACATCCGTCATGTCTGTCCTCAAGATGCACGCCAGAGAGATCTTCGACTCCCGTGGAAATCCCACCGTTCGATCTTTACCCCGCCAAAGGGCTCTTCAGAGCGGCCGTGCCCAGTGGTGCCTCCACTGGGATCTACGAGGCCCTGGAGCTCCGGGACAATGATAAGACCCGGTATCTGGGCCAAGGTGTCTTAAAGGCTGTTGAGCACATCAATAAAACGATTGCGCCTGCCCTGGTTAGCAAGAAGGTGAACGTGACGGAACAGGAAAAGATCGACCAGCTGATGATTGAGATGGGTGGAACTGAGAATAAATCAAAATTTGGTGCAAATGCCATTCTGGGCGTGTCCCTCGCTGTATGCAAGGCCGGGGCTGTTGAGAAGGGAGTCCCCCTGTACCGTCACATTGCTGACTTGGCGGGCAATTCCGAAGTTATCCTGCCAGTTCCTGCTTTCAATGTGATCAACAGCGGCTCCCACGCAGGCAACAAGCTGGCCATGCAGGAGTTCATGATCCTCCCCGTCGGGGCAGCCAACTTCAAGGAGGCCATGCGCATCGGGGCCGAGGTGCACCACAACCTGAAGAGCGTCATCAAGGAGAAGTACGGCAAGGATGCCACCCATGTCGGGGATGAAGGAGGCCCTGGAGCTGCTGAAGAATGCTATTGGGAAAGCTGGTTACACCGACAAGGTGGTGATTGGCATGGACGTAGCTGCCTCCGAGTTCTTCAGGTCTGGGAAATAGGACCTAGACTTCAAGTCTCCTGATGACCCCAGCAGGTGCATCTCACCTGACCAACTGGTGGACCTGTACAAGTCCATCAGGACTACCCAGTGGTGTCTATCAAAGACCCCCTCGACCAGGATGACTGGGACGCTTGGGCCAAGTTCACTGCCAGTTCAGGGATCCAGGTGGTAGGGGATGATCTCACAGTGACCAACCCGAAATGAATCGCCAAGGCCGTGGGCAAGAAGTCGTGCAACTGCCTCCTGCTCAAAGTGAACCAGATCGGCCCCGTGACCAAGTCTCTGCAGACATGCAAGCTGTCCTAGTCCAATGGGTGGGGCGTCATGGTGTCTCATCGTTCTGGGGAGACCGAGGATACTTTCATTGCTGACCTGGTGGCGGGACTCTGCACGGGACAGATCAAGCCTGGTGCACCATGCAGATCTGAGTGCCTGGCCAAGTACAGCCAGATCCTCAGAATTGAAGAGGAGCTGGGCAGCAAGGCCACGTTTGCTGGCCAGAAGTTCAGAAATCCCCTCACCAAGTAAGCTGGGCAGGCAGACCTCTGGTAGTCCCTCCCCTGAGCCTGTCGGTGTTCTCACCGCTTCAGTAGAGCTGCCCCCGCAGCCAAGCCAGACCATCTGGACGCCTGTTGGAAAGCCCAGCTTTGTGATCCTGTGACAGCCCAACGCCTCGCCCTTCTCTCAAGCTTCCCACCAAGTGTCCCAGGGTCATCCCGAGGTGTCAACAGGCAATATCCCCAGTGGTTTTGTTTGCAAAATAAACATCAGTGACCCCTAAAAAAAAAAAAAAGAATTGTGACATAGGACGATTCCTCCCACTTGCATGGGGCTAAAAGTTGAAGGGTCCTTAATGATTTTTTTATGCATAGAAATATACACTACTATATACTAAGATCAATATTTGACTAAATGAAGTGAGCTACGAACCATACCTAACTGTCCTAATTTATGTACAAGTTAGGCTTAAAGACAACTTTAGGAACAGGCTCCTACGTGATCCAGGGACTGGCTGTACAGCAGAATAGAACACCTCCCGGTCTTGTACCTTCATCACAATTATCAGCCTGTTTGAGTTCATCGTTGTGTCTATGAAGGCAGTTCCTCTCACCTAGAGCCTCCTTTACCTTGTCGGCCATATCCTTTGCCAAGTACAATGTTGTCCTTTAGCTAACTGTTCTCTCTTGATGGCATGTCTAAAGCATAACATCGGAAAATGTTCTCTGGTGATCATTCAGAAGGCGTTCAGTTTTTGGATGTAGATTGCCAGGCTTTTCTTCCTCTTCTGTCTTAGTTTAGAAGCTCTGGTAAAATCTGCTCACCAGGAGTGATCCTGCTGGTATTTGGAATACAGGCAGCATAGCCTCCAGCATTATGACATATAAGTCACTGTAGTCCCAGAAGCTGCCCAATGGGTAGTGGGCATATTCAATACTATGTATCAATTGTGCCACTTACTTCTGAAAGGAAGTATGCCCTGAACGGAAGGCAGCAGACCCGTTTTATAGATGAATAAATAGCTCAGGTGTATTACATGACTTATTCAAGGTTATCTAAGCAGTAAGCATTAGAACACGGGCCCTGGTTGCGTAGTGGTTATGCATTACAATCCGCAAGGTTGGCAGTTGGAAATCACCAGTCGCTCTGTGGGACTTCCTCCTCTCTTAAAGAGTCACAGCCTCAGGAATTCACGGAAACCGTTTTAACCAGTCCTACAGGGTCACTATGAGTCAACATTGACTCGATGGCAGCGAGTTTGATTTAGGAGTTTTTTCAGAACACAGATTCCAATGCAGCTGCAAACTCAATACCTTTAGCCGTGTTCTAAGAACTGGTCAAGTTGAGGATGTACACTGGTACAGACAGGAACTGGAAACACAGGGAATCCAGGACAGATGATCCCTTCAGGACCAGTGCTGAGAGTGGCGATACCTGGAGGGTAGGGTGGAAATGGGGAACCGATTACAGGGATCTACATATAACCTCCTCCCTGGGGGACAGACAACAGAAAAGTGGGTGAAGGGAGATGTCGGATAGTGTAAGATATGACAAAATAATAATAATTTACAAATTATCAAGGGTTCATGAGGGATGGGGGAGCAGGAAGGGAGGGAGAAAAATGAGGAGTTGATACCAAGGGCTCAAGTAGAAAGAAAATGTTTTGAAAATGATGATGGCAACAAATGTACAAATGTGCTTGAGACAATGGATGGATGTGATAAGAGTTGTAGGACCCCCAATAAAACAATTAAATAATAATAATAAAAAGAACTGGTCAATTTTTCTAAATGAGCTAGATCTAATTTAAGGGAATGATGGTTGTTTGCCTGTGTGAAAGACCTTTTGGATATTTTCCAGAATTAAGTCTATTGAAGGATAAGCCAATAAATCAAATTTGAAGTTTAAAAGTGCCAGTCAGTGAAATAAAAATGACAACCATTTCCAGAAGTAATCTCTCCTTCCTATGATCTCCTATAGCACACGATGCAATTATAACACTTACTCTGTATGATTGAGCAAGATATTTAATATTGTTCAACTCAGAGCTCTTCATCTGGCAAACCAATAATATCTGCCAATATCGATCAAGTGGAATTCTGTATAAGAAAAACTTGTAAATTGGAATGGTGTCTTAGCTCTTAATAGATTATACACTACTTGAGGGTGATCACTGAGTTATATATTTATCATTCTATGTCCCACAGCATTAAAAAGTATAATAATTTGTTGTATGTCTGTAGCTATTCAGTCAGTTGTATATGAATGAAAGGATGGATGGATGGATGGTGGATGAATGAATGAATGAATGAATGAGTCATCAGGGTTTTCTCCCATTATATTAAGCAACAGCAGGAACATGTAGGCTGGTACAATTTTGTTAGTAATTCCAGTTATTTTGATACTTTTGAGTTCACCTGAACTGTGCCCTGGGTTTTAATTGTAGTACAACACTTTTTGCTTCTGAAAATCATTTTTGTTTATTTTTAGAAAGCTTGCCTGATGCGCAAATGGTTTGGAGAGAGTAGGAATGTGATGTAGTGGGAGCAGCTGGCTTGCTGACGCAACAACACTTGAAGTTCGTGCTGCTTAGCTGTAGGTGCAGCCGAAGTACTTTCCCAGATACTATACAATATTATCAGAACTAGATGGATTTTAATCTGACCATTGGAAAGAAATCTAGTCTTCCAAGTTAAAAGTCTGAAATTAAACAATATAATATGATTTGGCATTGCTATTGTTTGAGTAAGCATATGCACCTACCAAATCTAAGAAATTAGATTATAGATTAACACCTAAAGCCTTCCCTATTTTAAAATGACACCATTCCAAAGTTTTTTATTTGGTGGTGTCTGCTTCATGATGTGTTGCTTGACACCTGGTCATTTGACCTCCCTTTCGAACCATTCTGGATTTGTGCTAGTTTTAAATATTTTTTCTCAACAGAATTTTTTTCCCTCTGGTTTATTTTAATATTGCCGGTGGTCTTTTCTTTCTTTTTATATATTTACTGTTTTGTTTTTTGTATGTTTCCCAATTTGTGAAACATAAAAGGGGTAGATGTGTAGAGACAATAATAGTTATTCCTTTGGACCAGATGGGATTAGCAATGGCCCTTTAGGTTCTGTACTGAACTGCTAACCACAGGGTTGGTGGTTCAAACTTACTAGCTGCTCCTTGGCAGAAAGATGAAGCTGTCTATTCAGGTAAAGATTTACACTCTTGGAAACATGATATAGACAGGGCTGCTGTGCCTCAGAAGCCCCTCAGGGCAGTGTATCACACCTTACATATGATCTCAAGGGGTGATTCAAAGACTGTTCTAATATAGTTTTAAGTGCTTTTACTTGTTATCAGGGAGTCCCTGGGTGGTGCAAATGGTTAAAGCACTCAGCTGCTTAAAGATTAGAGGGCCCTCAGAGGGACACAGTCCTGATAATCT